ACTGCTGCATCATCTAATTTTGGTATCCTGTGCGAAAAAATAAGACTGAGAGCAAAGCAGACGAAATCCGAACCGACTGTCTTGGCATTGCGTATCTCGCAAGTCCCGCCCCCCCCCATGCTTCGCCAGGCCTGCCCGACACGCCGCCTGGCTCTAGGTCGTGCCCCGCGCCGACAGAGGGCCCACAACAATCGCGGTGGGGTGCGCAATGGCCCCGGAAGATGGGGAAGGGGGGCGGCGAGGTGTTTTCGTAATTTCACAACCTTTACGACGCTCCTATTTCGTCGAATTTGCATGTTTTGTCACTCGCGTTGAATTCTAGGCAAGCATTGTCGCCATCGCTCTATAAGCCCACATTTTTAAATATTTTTTTCTCGGAAGTTTGAGAAATCTAATTCAAAATTTCGAGATTTTGCCTAAATATTTGGAAAAAAAGGGCTTCGTAGCGTAAATTCTATTTAAAAAAGGCACGGCGTCCAAATGCTTGTTTACAGATCGAAAATCGGAGCCATCGGTTCAGCCGATAGCGCGCTAAAGTAAATTCCCCTTTCCCCTGTGATAGTGCTCCGATCTATTGAATTTTCCTACAAGTATTTTTCGGTGCATTTAGCCTTAAGTCTGTATTCTGGTGTGCTAAGAGCATACTAGTTTTATTGGTGGGTATACATAAATATGAATCAAATACGCATGATAATTCAACCTTTCTTCAGATCTTTAAAGGTCAGCTGCAACACGATGTCTGATTGAGCCACTCATCATTATTGAACATGAGAAAATAAAACAATTTTGGCGAAACATTACGAAAACAATACAACGCAAACATTGTTATATTGCAGTGTCTTGTTAATTTGAGTGGCTTTCTCAGTAAGAGGTGGTGTACATATATACTAGCTGCGTCGTGAACAATCTTCAAGGAATGTTTACTACAAACAGTAGAGTAACAAACATATTTTCCACTAACCTAAAAAAACACAATTCAAGTTTTTTTTGTGCTCTGATAATTAATTTAAACAAGAGAAATGAAATTTGTAAAGAATTATTATCAACATTTGTATTACTGTAGAATTACTAACGAGAATTTACCCTGCAATATTGTAATTTGTTTTTACCTTTTTCGCAGTGACCTGTACAGCGGAAGAACCCTTTCCTGGTTGGGTGGACAATTTTTATGGGCCAACGACTATATTACTAGCTAATGGCATTGGAGCATTACATTCAAATTGCGCTGATCCTCAAGTCGCAATGGATATAATTCCAGCTGATTATGTCGTTCGAGGAATTTTGTTGGTAGCTTTAAAACTTGCAAAGAACAGGTTTGTTACTACATAATTTCTTATTCTAAGGTTTTTCATCTCAAGGATATTTAAAGTACGTCATTACGAATTTTTTCCCACAGCTGTGAAACACATACAATATTTTTGCAATATGGTGAAACCTGCTGCAACGGCCACCTAGATTAAGTGATGATCGTGGTCACTTCTATTAACGGCAATTTTTCGTGGAACTGATTTATTTTTTCCCAATACCTATAAAAAATTATCCACGATCAGTGGATAACCGTTAGGCACATTTCATAAATTGACCTTTATCAAGCGGCTAACTCTTGCGACTTTGAACTCGTAATTAAATAATACGCGTTAGAGCGGTGAATATACTCGTACTGTTGGCTAAGTATCCTCTTTCATTGTGACGCATTGTCAGGTTCCTTGGATCGTTTCTCAGAGAAGAGAAATGGTTTTTACAATTGTCTCTAGGAAATACAACACGTTAACTTTACCCAGCTTTCTCGTGACGTTTGCAAATTCTTACTTCTCTTCAGTGGACAATTGGCAACAATCTGCGGAGTTTGCCGCGTGGAGAAACACTTCCAGGGACGGCAATGCTCCCAGAAATGTTAATTATCCTTTGTGGCCTAGTTTGCATGTGCGATCGGTTCGGTGAATACGAAAAGTGAGTTCCGCAAACATGAGAATAGGTGACAAAGCCAAGGGTGTTTGCCTCTAGCCAAGAGGAGATAAGTGGTCCTAGAAAATGAGAAATGAGTTTAAAAAACTTGTCGACATTTTTATGCACAGAAGAACAGAAATTAATAAAATTATATGAAATAAATAGGTAACATTTAGAATGTTTTGAAACCTGTGCAGTTAAATAGAGTTGTAAGTTGTTAAACAAACTACTCTAAAACACCAATTGTTCAAAGAAGTTATAAAATTTGTAAACAGATATACTTACGTAATTTAAGTGAAGTGTCGTTTAAGTTTTATTCTGTGGTTTCATTGAAATGATTTCTCTGTAACCAAAGGAGGCACGTGCCTACGGCGGCAAATTTTCAAAGGCGCAAAATTTTCTTGATATTTCCTAAAACAAATTTAGGTTCTTCAAAAACTATAACAGTATAAATCAAATTTTTATTTTTTAAAATGATTTAAACGAGACTAAACCAGGCCCCTCAACCTTTGATTTATAAATTAAGTTTGAATTTGAAATGGGGACATTTTCAATGTTACAGAATACATGAAAAGAATTCGCCAACGACTTCTGATTGGTTGATTGAGCAGAAAGAATTACATTCTTAGGGTAAGGAGTTTGAATTAGCCAATCAGAAATCGCTGACGGATTTCGCCATGCATTCATATTACGCTATATAGAAAGTAGCGACATCTGTGACTTCTTGAGTTAGTTCCAGAAGACGGATCTGGAAATAACCCTTTTCTTTCTTTTGTTATTATATTTGTGTACCGTTTATTGTAAGATTCTGCTGGGTAAAGATGATATTTTGAAGTTTTTAACTGAGTGATTATCGAAAAAGACTCAGCGGAAATCAATACGCAAAAATCCGAAAAGAAAAGGAAGAGAAATGTCAAAATGAAATTGATAAGACAAAAAATAAATGAATTCTTTAAACCCGTATGTGAAACTGATCACTGCTACAGTTCATTCGGCAATTCTATTACTGAGGTAGTATAAACATATAGATTAGATAACATATTTAGTTTTCAGCGTGTATATTTTTTTCATGTACTAATTACTTGTGATAAATAAATGTTAACTTTAATATATTTTTAATGCAGAGTTGTGTTGGTAAAATATTCTCAAAATGCAAAAAGTGTTCAGTGCAATAATTAGAAATTAAATATTCTTGACGTGTTGATGTATTCGTTAAAATGAACTATATTTTAATATAGAATTTAAAAGAATTAGCATAAAATATGTTACTATAATTATGTTACTAAACTTTATGTTATATAATATGTAATAATACATAATATTTTGACTCTTTTATTTAATCAGGGTTATCAATGAATCTATCAATGAATGGAATGCGAAGTTCCAAACATCTAAAAATGAAATGGTTTCTCAAGCAATTGAAAATATAACAATTCACCGTATAATACAATATAGCAATTCAACCGATGTAAATAGTTTAATCCTTTTTTTGTATAATTAATTAAATATTATACAAAATTAATAATTAAATAATTTTGATTATATATATATATATATATATATATATATATATATATTATATATTGTAACCACGCTCATCGATTATCTGATTCCTTCCAGCAATTTCAGCTTTGCCCCGGCTGCTTTCGCTTGGCAGGACTCCTAGAGGGAGGCATGCGTGCATGTGACCTAACTACCAATAGAAAAAGACTAAGCATTTTCTTAATACTACTTTAATCACTTTTGAATTCGGTGCGGGTGAAGCCCAGTGACATAAACAAACTTACAATTAACATGTAACTAATCTTAACTTCTGTCACACGAGTCGAGCTGCGATGTGTGCGAGGTGGCATGGCATTCGGAGTGACCAGGCACGGAAATAAGTGGCCTCGCTACTGCCTCAAAAACAAGTGTTCTCGCGGCTGCCTCACAAACAAGTCATGTCGCGGCTGCCTCACAACACAAGTAATCGCCCTGCCACCTCCGAAACAAGTTGATCTCCTCGCTACCTCCGACACAAGTGATCGATCCTTTCATCGGCGGTCCCTCAGGAAGTCTCGCGTGCCACGTGATTCCTCCCCAGCGTTGTGTATTCCAATTGGTTGTCGCGCTACCGGTAGATACTTTCGCATATCACGGCGCCAGCGGCAAAGCCGCCCCCGGCAACTTCTCCCGAAATTTCCTCCGTCACTTCAATTCTAAGAATTGGGCGCGGAAAAATCCGTTGCTCGGTTTGGGGGTGCGGGTGGCGTATTTCCCCATACGTCACAAGGGCGCGTCCGGCGTGGGTGGCGCTGCACAAAGGAGGTGCTTTTCCTCGGCGCACTAAGCGGCTCTCCCAGGTGCAGCAGGAAACGGCATTTCCGGCTGCCGTAACGGCGGCGCGGTTCTTAACTATTCGTGTAGTCATCTGCTATGTGCGACCGTTCCATTACATAATAATCTTTCTAGAATATTTGTTTATATTACCATACATTATTATAATAATTTATTATTTTCTTTTTTAATTTAATAGAATTTCTACCGAATGTATACAACTGCAAGAACATAAATTTGAGGAAACCATAACTTCGACCGATCCTTTTTGTTGGAAAAGCGATCCAGCTTTGTAGTATATTAATGAAGCTACACGTGATTATGTTGCTAAACATGGGATCAAACAAAACAAAAACGCTTACTTTTCTAAATCAAGAAAAGAGTACAATGATGGCAAAGTTCGTTACTTAACGTCGAAAATGTTTGAGTATACGCATATCAGTAAAGAAAAATGCCTTGCATATGGCTTGTTTACTTTGAAAGCAATGGAACTGTTTTCTACAGTGTTTGTCTATTGTTTTCAAGCAATTCAGAAATAAGAACAAAATTATCATCGGAGGGATTCAATGATTGGAAAAATGCGCACATCGAATTAAAAGAACATGAGAATTCTACATGTCATAGAAACTGTACGTCCGCATTGAAAAATTCACAGCGGACCGAAAACCAAGTGAATAATCAGCTACTTGAACAAGTTGAAACCGAGCTAACTTATTGGAGGAATGTTCTTGAGCGTGTCATTTTAGTAATAAAAACTCTTGTTTCCAGAGGGCTTCCTTTGAGAGGACATGTCGAAAAGTTTGGAAATAATCAAAATGGTAATTACATTATGTTGCTTGAGTTAATTTCGAAATATGACCACTTCTTAGCAGATCACATACAAAAATTTGGTAACTGCGGAAAGGGAAATACATCGTATTTATCCACCACGACGGTTGAAGAACTAACAGGTATATTAGCTAAAGCAGTTAAAGATGAGATTCTCCGAAACATTCGAAGTGCCAAGTATTTTTCCATAATTGTGGACTCGACACCAGACATAGCACACGTGAATCAACTCGCTATAGTTATTAGACATGTGGGAAACGATGGTACACCAAAAGAGACATTATATAAAGATGTATATGACAAATTTAAGGCTGTCATTGAAATAGAAAAATTAACTTTGATAGATTTGGAAAAAGCAGCGATATTTTTTTATGTTCACAACTTCCCAAGATCTTGAAGAAACGCTTGTTTCTGAGCTTATACATTTAGTGCGTATTTAAAAATCCTTGAAGATGTTAAGCCAATGAATCCTGCAGATTTATTAAAGTGGTTACGGAAAGAATTAGAATGTATTTATCCTAACGTTGACACTGCATTTCGAATCTTTTTATGTATTCCGGTCGCCAATTGCACAGCAGAACGTTCATTCTCTTGTTTAAAAAGCATGAGAAAGCAAAAATGATTTGCGTTCTACAATGACAGTATCGACTGGACTCCTTAGCGTTATTGTGTATCGAAGAAAATTATTTCAGCGTTTTAGATTATACTATAATTATTGATGAATTTTCTCACCAAAAGGCACGTTACAAAATTTTACATCAATAGACAAATTAATAAAACGTTATTTCAACTGTATAAAAAAACCATCCAAAAAGTTAAATGTTATATTCCTTGTTTATAATGCTAAATCGAAACTTATAAAAACTCTTACAACGTCGTAATATTCTAATCGTTCAGTTGTAGTAAATAAAAATCTATCATATCAATATATAATACAAGCTATTTATTTGTCTACTACATTAGAGTATACCTTATGATTTCAGAAGTATATGAATCTGAAGGTAAGACCCGTTAACGAAAGAAAACATGTTGCAATTCTATTTGTCATATTATAGTTTCCTTTTAATGTTAACGTTTCAGTGTTGAAACGTTAATAATGTTGAACGTTACTTGCTATGAGAATACAGTTTATATCCAAAATCAGCTAAACCCAAAAATTTATTTAATTTATGAAAACAATGTGCAAAATGTAATGTTACTTTTAAAGTTAAAACATTCAAAT